GAGGCTGGCCATGAACTACTGATCCTCCTTTCATAGGCATCCGCCATCCTACCTACTGTCTTGGTGCTTCTTCAGTCATGGCTGCCCACTCTGCACACTATGGGTAATTTTTCTGTAGCGTCTAGGTTGCAGTAGGACATGGAATCAAGTGCACTCACAAAGATACTGCCATTTTGCTGGGAATTGTGTTGACTCTGTGGATGTCAGTGCAGAGAATGGACATTATGAGATGAGGCATCTGACCTCAGGTCCATCTGACCTGGAATGTGATGTGACTCCCTTTGCCCCTGGGCTGAGGTGTCACTTTCTGAGAGGATGCCTTGGGTAACTGAAGCAACAGAGACGGGGACTGGAGCACCTACAGCCTTCAATTTTCTTGCAGTTTTATCATCTCAGTGCAAAGGGTTAAAGTTCCTCCTCCTCTTCCTCTTCCTTTGTTTTGAGACAGGGCTTAATGTAACCCAGGCAGGCTTAGAACTTATGTAGCCGAGGACGATCTTGAACTCCTGATGCTCCTCTACATGTTTACACATACACACAGATGTTCCGCATATGAGAGAGAACACAACATATTTGTCTTTCGAGTCTGGCTTATCTTTCCCAATAGAATTACAAAAGTCCAGTCCCACTGGATAGATTCAGTGATTTATTCTCGGGACGCTAATGCTGTCACAAATTAAACTTGTGTGTTGTGTACAGGCGTTGCCACGCTCTATTCCGTGTGGACTGAGGTCAGAGGACGAGCTTGGGTCCAATTTTTACCTTTCACATTGTTTGAGATGGGGTCTCTTGTTGTTCACCACTGGGTACCCCAGGCTGGCCCCCGAGCCTCTAGAGAGTTCCTGTCCCCACTTCCCATGTCACTGAAGGGGCACCGGGACCACTGGGATGTATTACTGTGTCTGTGTCTGGCTTTACATGGGCGCTGGGGCTCCGAACTCAAGTTCTCACACCCAAGTCCCGCACCCGGAATTTTGCAGGGATTCTCTAAACCTTGGTTCTGGGTTGTGTGGGGAGAACCCCAGCACCGCCTGCCCTTCACTTTTCCTTTAAGATTTGCTTTATTGTTGTTGTTGTTCTGGGTGTGTCTTTAGTCTGCATGTATGTCTCTGCACTGTATGTATGCAGTTCCTGTAGAGATCAGAAGAGGCCCGAGGACCCTTTGGAGCTGGACATGGAAAGTCGTGAACCTCTGGGAATCAAACCTGGGTCCTTTGGAAGAGCAGCTTGTGCTCTTAAGCACTGAGCCGTCTGTCTAGCCCCAAATTTTACCTTTTTGAAATTAAGCAACTATTATTAAGCTGAAGTTTTCTACGCTGTAACTTTACCTTTACTTAAAGTATACACTTTGGTGAATTCAGATTCACAGGTATGAGTAACAGTGATCACAATGCTAGAACATTTAATTTTCCGATTTTCCTTTTTTCCCCCTCTATTAATTCACTTACTTATTCACTTTACAGCCCGATTGCAGCCCCCAGCTCCCCTTACACACCCTTTTCTCTCCTCTGAAGGAGAAAGCCCCCAACCCGCCCTGGCACACTAAGTCACTGCAGGAGTAGGGCCTCCTCTCCCACGGAGGCCATCAAGGCAGCCCAGTGAGGGGAGCAGGATAAAAAAGGCAGGCATCAGGGTCAGAGGGGGCTTTGCTCCCATTGTTGGGGGATCCACAGGAAGACCAAGCTGTGGATGTGCAGGGGCCTAGGACCAGCCTATGCATGCTCTTGGGTGGGTGGTTCAGTCTCTGTGAGCCCCCATGGGCTATGAAGTTTTTCCCTTTATCTTAAATATCCTTCTGTGTGTGTGTGTGTGTGGGGGGGGCTGGAGAGATTTCTCAGGCATTAAGAACACTTTCTGCCCTTGCAAGAGAACCCTGGTTTAGTTCCTAGCAGCCACCTGGGTAGTTCCTCACTGTCTGGAACTCCCGTTTCCGAGGATCCGATGCCTCCTGCTGGGGTCTTCAGGTACCAGAGAATGCACATGGTATACAGACATATATGTAAAACATTCATTAAATATTTGACAAAATCTATCCTTTACCTGGTTCCCGCTGGCTGCACTTGTTACCATTTGAACGTTTGTGTCCCTCTCCTCAAGTCAGCTGAAATCTTTGGTTTTGGAGACAATGTCTCAGTAGGTAGCCCCATGATGGCCTTAAACTTGAAACCCTCTGCCTTTGATACCTACATGTTGGGATTCCAGGCACGTGTCACACTGGCTGACCTACATTTTGAAATATTTTTTTAAAAGTGTGTTTTATTTTTAATTATGTGTATGTGTGGGTATGTGTGTGTGTATGAGCGGGGTATATGTGGGAGTCGGTGTGTGTGTGGGGTATGTGTATGTGTGTGTGTGTGTGTATGTATGTGTGGGGTATGTGAATGTATGTATGTGTGGGGTGTAGTGTGTGTGTGTGTTGGGGGTATGCACATGTATTGGGTCCTTATGTTGGATGCTGTGGCACTGGACTTACAGGTAGCTTTGAGCCACCCAGACAAGGCTGCTTGGAGATAAACTCCGATTCTCTGGAGGAGCAGCAAGCAGTCTTAACCGCCAAGCCTTCCTTCCAGCCAGACTAGGAGTTTCTTCCATCTTAAAACTTCCTGTGAAAGGGAGACTATCTGTGAAGCTAACCCAGCACATGGCAGGTGCTCAGTAAGTATCTGGTATTATGGTATAGTTTTTTAATTTGTAAGTGGTTTTAAATTTTATGATGTGTGTGTGTACAAGCTTCTATATACGTGCACTGTATTCATGCAGGCGTCAGCAGGGGCTAGAAGAGAGCGTCCGATCCTCTGGGACTGGAGTTAAAGGTATTCGTGAGTCACCTGATGTGGGTGCAAAAAAAAAAAAAAAAAAAAAAACAACCAAACCAAACCAAACCAAACCAAAACCTAACCCTGGGTCATCTGCAAGAGCGGTAGGTGGCCTAGAGCCATGTTTGGTGTCTGTGTCTGCGTGTATCTGTGCACAAACATGCTGCGTGCTGTGGTGAGCAGGTGGAGGTCAGAAGACAGCCGCGGGAGGTGGCTGTCTCCTCCCAGCATGCAGGTCCTGGGCTGGGATTTCATTAGCAGTGGGCACCCTCGCCGAACGTGCCAGTCCCGCTGGCCTCACTATTTTACCGGCTCCCCTCTTTGATGTAGCGGCATCTCCGGCACTTTTTTGCTCCAGTGCCTCCTTTTCCACGCAGAGCATTCAGAGCAGCTACTGGGGCAGGGAAACTGGTTAAATAACATGCTAGCCCCCCCCCCCCCCAGCCCCTCGCTGCCAAGCCTTGTCTTAGGGACGGGCCTCATCCGTGCCTCAGAGAAAGGCATTGCCAAGTTCAGCATCAGTGCTTTAAAACTTTCCCACAGAACCCCGTTTCCCCTCCTTAGATAATTTAAACAAGCAGCCGCAGTCCCTTCTCCCCTACCCTGCTGAAGACCAACTGTAGAGCTCTCAGGAGGTCTCAGTGACAGCAGACCCCAGCGCCTTAGGAGGCATTTCTTCTTGCTGTGTGAGTCACAGCCTAGGGCACTGGCTGCTCGTCCAGAAAAGCGTGGTTCAATTTCCAGCACCCACAGGGCAGCTCAGAAACTACCTGAAACTCCAGTTGCAGGCCATCCAATGTTCTTTGGCTTCCTCAACCATTGCACAAATGTGTACACACACACACACACACACACACACACACACACACACCGTGTGTGTATCTGTGTACCTCGAAATTTTAAAGCCACAGTGGGGGACTGCCCTTCCCCCCCCCCCCTCCCCCAAAGAGACAGAGGACTGATTCACGGTCTTTAGGATCTTTCTGATGATTATGCCTGACCTCTGAGCTTTCATTACGGAAAACTGGTGTCAGAGATTAAGGAAATCGTCTAGAGCCTCATCTGCACAGAGAGACCCAGAGGTTCAGAGACCAGGGAGACTGCCCAAAAGCGGTGGCGTTCCTCACCTGGCCCAGAAGCCAAATTTCTGGTTCTAAGTTCCCCTTATTGAAGAGGGACGGCGCTGATGGGGAAGATGGTCCCGTGCCATTTGGAACTGGTCTGGAATGCCGGCACCAAGAATGTAAGGCAGCGCCGAGTGTGAAAGTGAAGGGGGAGGTAACCCTGGTGGCTGTCTTGCCCCCCAAAAGTTTTTCCTTGAGTCTGGGTTGCAGCCAAGGAAAACAGGAGCCTGGTTGCCCCTCCCAGCTGAAGACCAAACCCGGGCTTCACAATCACCGTCTGGAAAAACCTTCCACCTCCCATCTTCCTGCAGGCTCCCAGCCCAGGGAGGGGTGGGGGGAGGTCCGCTCTGTTGGCAGCAGGGACACGGGTTCCAGGGTCTGGAAACAAGATGGGCTTTTTTCCCCCAAGGGGCTCACAATCTTTGGTAAAACCAGACAGACCTTGGGCGTAGCGAGAAAAACTCCTTTATTACACACTGAAATTCCATCCACGGGGAAGCCGACTGGAGCGCTGAGCCAGGCTCCAGAGCTCCAGAGGAAACAGCCAAGCCCAGGCGAACTCCTCTCCTGTCTCAGGCCTCACCTGGTGCCCCAAACCCCACGTCTGTCCTGCCAGCCATCATTTTCCCGCTGCTTGACCTGTGTCCTGGCCTCTAGGTCCGCCCCTACCGAAAATCCCACTCCGGTTGTAAAGAACGGGTTGGAGCCGGGCTGGGTGAGAAGGAAGACCTTCCCCTCACTGCGCACTTTCTTTTTTTTCACCGCCCTCTCCCTGGGCCCAGATGTCCCCGCCCGGTAGACTGGACCTAGGACAGATTGTAAAACGGGTCGCTCTTCTCCGAGACCCCCTCGTCTCTCCCCACCCAGCTGCTTTCCTGCTCTGGCTCCCGCACCGGGCTGGGGAGCCAACTAAATCTGATGAAAATGCAATTGCCAAGTCGTTAAGGTATTTGAATTAAAAAAAAAAAAAAAGAAAGAAAAAAAGAAAAAAAAAAAACTCCCGAGAAAGTATTTGATGGCTAATAATCTCATTTCAATATAATGGGACCTTCTTCTACAGAGAGCAAGACAGGTTAAGAGATATAATTACGACTTCGCAAACTGGCTCCCGAGCGCGGGAGACGCGCTGACAGGTCTGCGCGGGGCTGCGCCCGGCTCCTCTGGCTCCGCTAGACGCTTTGTCTGCACGGCCCGTCAGAGACACGCGGTCCCTTCTCAGCCCCGGCTCGGCCCACACTGCAATTTAACTGTCAGCCGCGTCCCGGCTCCGGGCTCGAGCGCGGGTGCCGCGGGGTGGGTGACAGAGGGGGAAGCCGGACCCGGAGGGGAGGCGGAGGGAGGGTCTGACCGGCCCAACGCTGCTGGGCCCGGAACCCCAGGGCGGGAGTTCCAAAATCCGGTCCCACCAGGGGCTCCTTTGAAGGGCGTCTACACCGCAGGGTCCGGGAGGCGCAGCGGTCGGGGAGCCCAGATTTATTGCCCGCGTCCGAAGTGGTGCTTTTGATCCGAAATGAATGGATTCTTTCTGGTGGGGCTGCTGGGCGTCACACACACACACACACACACACACACACACACACACACACACACACACACACACACACACACACACACACACACACACACCCCACACACACACACACACACACACACACACCCCACACACACACACACCCCCAGTAGGGGAAAAAGCTCCCACTTGAAGCCTGGGTAGGGAAAGAGAGTTCTCCGCGTTCCGTCTGCGCCTTTACCCGGAGCGCAAAGGAGGGGGCGGCGAAGGCGCTGGGCGCGCGCGCGCGGGGACAGGCGTGCGCCCGCAGCAGAGTGGCCCGCGCGCTTAGCGAGCGCCCCGACCCCGGAGAGGCCCGGGCGAGGGGCCGCCGGGAGCTCGGGGTCTCCGCAGCCAGCGAGCGCGGACCCCCGGGGAGTGAGGCCCGAGGCGGGCGGGGAGGCGGCACCGAGCAGGGCCCAGGGGAGGAGGCCGTAGCTAGGACAGGTGGGCGGATCCCGGGGACAGAGTGCGGGGGGTCAGGAAGTGACCCGAGACCGCCGGGAGCCGCGGTCGGCTCGGCCCCAGCGTCCCCGAGAAGGAATTCGAAGGCGCCCCCCCCTCCTCTAGGCCTCGAGCCTGCGTAGGACTTCACCCGCGGCCCTTCGGGGAGTGGGGGTCCCCAGGCGCCTCTGCGACAGGCAGGGTCTCTCGGTGCACGCAGCGCGGCTTCTGGAGTAAGTGGGCCCATTCCTCCCGGGTCCCAGGTTCTCGCCCCCCCCGCGGCGCTTACGCCCGCGCGGCCGCAGGCCTCTCTCGAACTCGTCGCAGAACCAAGCCACACGAGCCAGGGTGGCGCTGTGGCGTCCCCGGTGGCCGCGGTTCCCTCTCCCCAGCGGGGACGGCCTCCCCCTGGCGGCCCGAGCCGCGCGGTCCAGAAGGTCCCTGAATCCACCACCCTCGGGGCGAGCCTGGCCGCGAGCCTGAGGGATCCCGGCTGAGCAACTCCCTCTCGGGGCCACGCTAACCCTTCGCCCGGGTCCGGCCCGCGCCAGGCGGGGAGCCTCTTCCCCGCGGCCCGCCTCGCTGCCCCTCTGCCCCGGGGGAACGCGCGTGGAAGCCGCCCCAGCCTCGATTAGGCCTTCCCGTCCCCTCCCCGACGTGCCCTCCTCCCTCTGGCGCCGAGCCCCCATGCTGCCCACGGGAGCCACGTGGTCGCCAGGCCCGAGGGAGCCCCCTTCTCCCGGGGGGTGACCCCTCGTGATGGGGTCCCCACCCCCACCGACGCGCTGAGGGGTGGGAGAGGGTGGCTCCGGGCGGCCTGGGTCCCCTCCGGGTGGGTGGGGGTGGGGCGCCGCGGGGGGAGGGCGGGCGCGCCGCCGGCGGGGTCAGGGGCGAAGGGGCAGGCGGAGGGCAGCGCGCGGGGCGCCGGCGCGGAGAGCTCAGGTTACCCCGGCCAGGCCCTCCCACCCGCAGCTCGCACGCGGGGGGCCGGGCCGGCCCCCCACCCCCGCGGCTGGCCTCTCTCCGGCGGGCGGCGGGGCTCGGCTTGAAAGGCTCGGCCTGGGTCTGGAGCGGTGTTTATTTTTCTTAACTAGCCGAGGCGGACGGACGACCCCGGGAGCGAGGCGACCGGACGGACCCGACCGAGCCTTGCGCTTGGGAAAAGAGGGGTCAGGACGGGGGCCGGCCGGGAGGACTTTGTTCCCTGTCCGCGGGCCGACCCCCGGCCGGGGTTGGCTCAGGCCGGGCAGCCAGGCGGCGAAGCCTGTCGATTTTTGCCGTCCCGTTTCCTCTGACTCAAGTTTCTTGCTCCTGGTCCTTAGTTCTAACCCCTGGAGGACAGAGCACCTTCGTGACTCGGTTTCCCCCTCTTTCAAAGGGCCTCGCTCCGTGGGCGCTGCAGGGCTTTGGGATGGCGTTCCTGGGGCCGAGCCTGGGGCTCGCCGAGGGGGCTGGGGTCGGGGCGCGGGGTGGGGGCGTGGCCCCGCGAGGGGCGCCGGGACCGACGCCGAGAGCGGCCGCAGGGAAAGGGCCTGGGATGGGGGCCCAGGGCTCTCAGGCCCCGGGGGAAGAGTGAGGGCTGAGGAAGAGTTCGGAGCGTTTTGACAGATGAATGAAATGCAAATGCTATCCAAAGCGAGATGCTAATGAGGTTTTCCTCCGCGAGCCGCCGCGGCTCCCGGGGTCCGGCCTGAAGTTGGAGCTCGAGTGAACTCCAGGCGCAGGCGGGGTCCGGAAGTCCGAGGCTTCGCCGTGCGCCGCGGCCCAGAGTGCGAGTGCGTGAGCGTGGCGCGAGCTTCCTCCTCTGGAAGGTGCGGAGCGGGGTGTGCTCGCACCGACTCGAAAATGAGGTCAGGGAAGGTCGTTCCGCTCTGCGGCATAAATCAAGAAGGAGAAGAGAGTGGATGTGAGAGACAGTCCCTGGGGACCGCAGGGAAGAGAAAGGGGGAGAGAGAGGGAGGGAGAGGAAGGAAGGGAGGGAGAGGGAGGAAGGGAGAGAGTGAAGGAGGAAGGGAAGGACAGAGAAGGAGGGACAGAGAGAGAGGGAGGGAGAGAGAGAGAGGAAGGGAGAGAGAGAGAGGGAGGGAGAGAGAGAGAGGGAGGGAGAGAGAGGGAAGGAGAGAGAGGGAGGGACACAGAGAGAAGGTGGGAGAGAGTGAGGTAAGGAAAGAGTGGGAGGGAGAAAGAGGGAGGGAGGAAGGGAAAGAGAGGGAGAGAGGGAGGGAGGGAAAAGGGAGGGAGGGAGAGAGAGAGGGAGGGAGAGAGAGGGAGGGAGGAAGGGAGAGAGGGAGGGAGGGAGAAAGGGAGAGAGAGAGGGAGGGAGAAAGAGGGAGAGAGGGAAGAGAGAAAGAGGGAGAGGGAGTTAGGGAGGGTAGGAGGGAGGGAGAGAGAGAGGAAGAGAAAGAAGGAGGGAGGCAGGGAGGAAGGAAGGGCCGCAGAACTAGCGAAGGAGGGGGGAGTTTCGTGTAGACTCCTGAAGTAGCTCGCTAAAGCTCATCCACCCTGTGCTTCCCGCGCCCAGACCAGAGAAGACCGCATCCTCAGCTGCCCACACCCGTAGCACTCCGTCTCTCTTTGTCTCTGTCTCTTTCTCTTCAACCCCGCTTCCTCCTTTCAGGGTCTTACTGCTTAGCCCTGAGTGCCCTGGAGCGTAACTGTGTAGACCAGGCTAGCCTCCAACTCACAGAGATTCGCCCTGCCCCCCCTTAACTCTTCCTGTCTGTACCCTTGCGTGCTACCGCTGGGCACAAAGCTGGGCTGGGGAGTGGGGGGGCTCCCTTCAGGCGTCGAGACTGCTGCCCCCTGCCGTCCCTCTGCCCCAGGGCTCCTGTTAGCCAGTGCAAGGCAGCCTCCTCCTCTGCCCTGGTAACCCGTCTACCGTTACCTGGGTGCCCCCCATCCCTGCTCTGTGCGGGTCATGAGGGAAGGCGTTGCTCCTTCAGGCGCCCAGCCAGGTGATCCGATGGATTCGAACCCCAGGCTTCCCCGGAGCCAGAGAAGACAGCAAGGCTACTCTTGCTCCCTGGAGTCCAGACGACAGCGAAGGTGGATGTAGCTTCCACCCTCCTACATCCGGGACACACAAGTCCAGAAAAATGAGGGTGTGGAGAGGCTTGCCCCTTCTGGGCAGCCTCTGTGGTGACCAACGGCTATGTCCCCAGCTGGTCACCACAGGAAGGGCAGAAGGCTGTCTAGGGCTGGATGGCACCTTCCCCTTCCAGCTGTGCCTGAGCCTGCATCAGATTTATTCTCTCCATGCTGAAACCCCACGCCGTGGGCACAGCCACTGTGAATTAAACACACAAAGGGCAGACACCAGCAAATCCACACTTGCTAGGTCGAGCATTCATTCAGCAGGCATTTAGTGAATTCCTCTCACATGTCTGCCCACGAAAAAGATAAAAATCCCGGGCCTTGGGATGCTCGAGCTTTCCCCGGGGTAGAAAGACAACAATCAGACAAGTGCAAGACCTTGTGTGTGGTAGCAGGGAGGGTAAGGGCTTACTGCAAAAGAGGTAGAGCTTGACCAGTGGGATGCAGGGTGACAGGGAAGGGCCACCATGAAATAAGGGATGGGCCACGAGGATTTCTGGAGGGACAGCTTCGATGGCAGAGAGGACCGAGTACCTTGTCACACGGGGCGGTGTCTGACCTGGGGCCTGAAGGGGAGATGGGATGGAGGCCAGTGGAAAGTCAGGTGGGCCGGATGATGCTGCAGAGCTGTGCAGGCCCTGCGGGGAGGCCTTGGATTGTGAGTCGTGTGGAAAGGAATGATGCCATCTGATTTACAAACTTTAAAAAACGGTAGACAAAACCTAAGGGGAGTTAACTAAATTATCTTTTCTTTCTTTCTTTTTTTTCAGGCTTATGAGTTCCAAACTATCCTGGTTCAGTGTGTGGAATATTGAGTACTCAAGCCAGGGGATGGCCTGCACTCCCCACAACATATTTTGAAAAATACTGGAGGTCAGGTAGGGTCTGGAACCAGGCCAGCCTCAGAATTTGGCTGGTGAAGACCCCCCAGGGCCCCTATTTTGAGGGTGTCTGGTGTTTATCCCCTGTAACTCCTGCCTGTTGTACCCTGGATTGTTCCAAGCTGTAGAGACAGTGGTGTGTGTGTGTGTGTGTGTGTGTGTGTATGCGCGCGCTCCCCGTGAGAAGATGACATCCAGTCTGTGCAGCTCCCGCGCCTTGGCTTTCCGAAGACGGGAAGCCGCCGGGTGGTCCCACACCGTCCCCTAGCGGCCACGGGGGACACTGTACCAGAGGTCCCTACCAGGTGCGGAGCTGAGCCAGGGCGGCAGGGGGCGCAGGAACAGTCCTATGGGGTTTCCGCCAGGTGCCAGGTGTTTGGCATCAGAGTAACTCATGGAGATTCGGGCTTCCGGCGTAAGCCCATCCCTGAGGTTCTGACAAGGAAGATGCTCGGTGAAAGGATGGGCGGGGGCGCTTCTGCATCCTCGAAGGCGGCGAGCAGATGAGCCAGCCTCTCTGCTCCCTTCTTTAGCTGC